TTTTCTTTATATTCTTGAATTTTGTCGAAAACCGCATATCAGAAATTTGAGCCGATCGCAATACTTTCCTTACTTAGTATAGGTAGAAATGTAATAAATTAAAACGTGTGGTGAAAATATAACGCTTTATAAACGATACTTAATAGTAACGTAATATCTTTTTTTTTTAAATTATTAGGCCCCGTAAACAGCAATTAAAAGTTGAGTGTCATCAGTAACCCATCCAACCACATTCAATGTAGCGTGGAGGATATAGAGAAGCAAAGCATAAAGTTCATAGCAGCATAACCACAGCCCTCACCCACATTAGCTGTGATAATTAAATTTCATAAGCCGTGGGAAGGTTTACTCGACCGTGTTTCACCACCCGGTGTAACGCTCGGAAGACCAAGGTGCTTTATGCCCTTATCTAACTTAGCAAAAAGTCCATCTTTAATGCATACTTACTTTAAATTTTATTGTAAAATTTAAATAAAAAAAAAAAATGAAAGTGACAATAGAAATTATTCAACATATTTTTCGTTTACGAGTACAGAGTTGAACTGAAGAAATTCCATGCGAAACATCCGTTTCAAATGTAAAACTTTATCAAAAAAAAATTATGATATCAATTATAAATAACTATACTATGATCTTTCCAAATTTAATAAATTATATTTTAAAATTTATAGAATTATTGTCATTATTTTTTTGATCCAGGGCACTATTTTTTTTTTTTTAAATACTATAATTTATGAATACTTCATGTTCAGCATGAAACCGATTACGAAAAATAAAATAAAAATAAAGAAATAGTGAAATTCATGAAAGGTTATGAATGTGCTGTTTATTTCAAATGTTGTGAAGTATTTGGATTTGTTAGTTAGAAATTAAATATTAATTCGATTGTATGATGATCTGAAAACTATTGTTAGAAGTTTCTCGAAATGCATACAAAAATAAAAAGTCTGTGGAAAAAAGTACAACATAAATTTAAAACTCGTTCATTTTAAAACAAATTTGTTTAAACAAGTTTCAATGGAGAATAAACGCTCCTAAATAAAATCCTGTAACTTTTCAAATAAATTAGTCATGTCTATATGCCCTTTAAAATATTTTAACATTTATCTTACTAACTAAATTATCTATTTGTTCTCTGTAATCTAATAATTGTCCTTTCAATTTTCTTACATGAAATAAATTCCCAAGAAAATTAAAGATAAATGTTATAAAGAAAAGAAAATATTTTGGGGTCTAACTCGCTAAGTATACATCCTATGGTAACATTTATAATATAACCTTTGAAAGGTAATTAAATTACCAACAAAACTAAAAAAAAAAAAAAATCATCGGAATCAAACCAGTATTAGCAATGATACAGCGCGTTCTATTTTCACCACACGTTTTAATTTATTACTTTTCTACCTATACTAGGTAAGGAAAGTATTGCGATTGGATCAAATTTCCGATATGCGGTTTTCCTATACATTTAGCCTGAAAGGTAATGATATTCTCTACAAAACTATATAAAAATCGTTCATTTCGGATAACTATTAACGAAGTTACAGCTATTCAATTTCCTGAGAGAGGGTGAATGAGAGAGAAAAAAGATAACTAAGTGAAAGTAAGAAAATCTGTTGGCCGCATCACACAAGCTTCACTATTGCCTTCATATATATTTTTAGAAAAGTTTATGTAGTTCAATTTTTTTTTTTTTTTTTTTATTTATTAATGGACATACGCAAATATATAAAAACGTTTCTGAAATAGATAGGACAAGTGCAAGTGGACACACCGGATTCTTTTTAAAAGCATCTTTTCAAAAGACAGAACCTATGGTATTAACTTGAATGAGACGCTATCCTTAGAAATTATCCTGATAAGCACCACTATAAGGTTCCTTTGAGAGAACTTCTTAGATACTTTAGTTTCAATTCGGTAGTGTCCGTTCCACTCGATTCGTCAATCCGACCTCCGGATAATTCGATTAAACGCGATAACCGCCCTCAACGGATAAGTTACAACCCCCGGATAGCGGAAGCGGAGACGGTTGAACGGAAGAGAGGGGATGATCCGGGAGTGGGGGCGGTAGAAATGGCTCCCGATCCAGCAGTAACCTGTTGGAGGCGATTTGTTACTCCACGTTCGTCTCACCTGGATTTCGGCCAACTTTGACTTTATCTAGGTACATTATGTTATCTTTTTTATTTTTTTTTTCTAGGATAGAAAATTCATTCGAAATTATTACAGATATTTTATGGCGTGGATGTACTCTATAACCATTGTCTATATTTTGTCAGAATGTTACATTACTCAATAAAACAGTTTAAAAAAATACAAGTATATGTTTAGTCCAAAGAAATCAATAACATTTTTTAATGTTTACATTAGCAAAAAAATTGAACACTTGAACAACAAATTGCAATTTGTATAAACTTCTGCTAATTTGATAGCCCCTTTATAATAGAATTATATTCCATGATTTATAAGGATTAAATTCAAATCAATAAAAACAAAATTAAAACTTTTCCTGTAATAATATAATTTTTTCAAACAGTAGTTCAAACGAATAAAATAAAAAAATCGTTTACATTAAAAGAAGTTCAGGTTAAATTGAGGACGATAATAAGCTTATAATTTATTTTACTTTCGAGTTTTTAATTATTTAAGAGCATCAAATTAAATTTTATAGTTTAAGGATCTTTCATGATTTTAAACTAATTCCGTATTTATTGGACAATAAATCACGTGGGTTTGCACTAAACTTTAACGAAAATTGCTCATCTCGTTTGTCATAGATTGTCTGTTATATATATTGTCTATAACATTGTCTGTAGTGTAAAACAACAGTGAAGTAGTGAGTACTTTATTATTTACAAAAAAATGTATTATTTTTTCACAAATTATAACGTTTAAAGCAATGTTTACCATGTCCGTGTTGGGTTAATTTACATTTTATAAAAATATAAATCTATCTATATACATATTAAATTTTAATATAATTAACATGTTATAACATGGAGTAACTTAGTTGTATAAATGTTTTCAGATAATACGTTGATATAATATTAATATGTCAGATGTATTTTTCTCACAATTATAAGACCATTAAGATATCGTATTAAACAAATTAATTAATGAATAAAAGTTAATTGTATGGCTCGAATTCGAACTACTCCTGCTTTAACTAATACCACATGGTCCAAGTTAATTTTCTTTAAAAAAATGTTCGATTTTCGCTTTTGAATAGTTAAATGACTGAACATTAGACGAGTAAGAACTAACTGCTCAACATTAATATGTATATATTAAAATAGTTGGTTGGTTAATTATTTCGTCTTAATTATTGGTCATCAGATACTTTCTTTAAAATTGTCAACGTACAACCATCAGTTCTTAAAAAAAAAAAAAAAATCATTTCTTGGGTATGCTGCACCATCAAATTTCGTTTTTCTAATATTATTTCAACTGAATAGGATAAAATCGATACTTGATCGATCACATAATATCGAATCTGTTACATCGTCCACTGATACCATTAAGAATGGGGTGAAGATCTATTCAAGTGCAACACTTAGAACCTATTCAGGATAAATATTAGATGTAGTAATTTATATGTCGAATACAAAGAATATTCTGTTCGGTTGTGAGAAGCGACTCGCTTACCATACGTGTCAAGTGTCATCGATATTTCTTTGTTGACGGAGTATAAGCGTGGTAGCATATAAAGTCAAATTAATAACAAATAATAAAATTAAAACATTAATAACCTTTAAGTTGGGTCAATTATTGGAACAATAGAAACTCTAACTTATATCCACATTCCAAGCTAGAGAATGCAATACATTAAGATGCATAATAATTGCTATCGTCTTTATTATTCTATAATAATAAATTTAAATTTTAAAAAATCAACCCCTCTTTAGTTAAAAGCATATTATTTATTTATTAGGTGATTTACAAAGATATTTTGCCAAAGTTGCGTTTCTGGCAGCGCTGAATGCTAGCTGTATGTCATTAAGTAAATATTTTATTTCTGTCGGTTTTCAATAAAATATCCTAATTTTTATTTCATTCGAAAAATCCACTTTTTTAATTCCATGGATAGCTGGTCTAATATTTGGGTAGTTAATACCAATGCCATTTTTAGATTTATTTTGATATTAGACTTATTTCACCGGACTGTAACTTTTTTTTTTTGAATGGTACATATCTAAAAAAAAACTTAATTATATTATTTGAGGTTTTATGAAGTGATTCTCTACCATAAAAAATTAAATCACAGTTTTAATATCTTTCTTTATCTTGTTCGACATTTCGAGATGTTTTTATACTCATTTAAGTGATTTTTTTCTTTATTGTGTTCTTTTAGTCATATAACCTCATTCTTATTAACAATTCTAAAAGGTTATTCAATGTTTCCTCTTCAAGTATATTGTTTTTTTTTTTAATAAAAGAAATATATAGGAATATCGATTATAAATAAAAACGAAGGGAACCTTAAAAAATCATTACATTCCTTAAAGATGAAGGTAAAATCTCTTGAGGCGTTGGACACGTTAAGAAAAGGCCAGATTTTACAAATGTATTTTAAAATAATTAATTATTAAAACTAATTATAGTTTTATGAAAGAGAATGATTTAACACAATCTTGATAGATAAAAATAATTGTTCCTGGATGTAATAGTTGTTTTTAGAATTCTTTATTATAAATATTTTTTTAAATTGTGATATAATTTTTTTCAATAGCTCTTTAATAATAATAATAGCATCATCTTAATACCATCGAATTTTTTTTAATAATTAAAGCCGAGATAAATACTTACATTTATTTTTAATGAGAAAAGGAACTGAACAATAATTTAAATTTAAAAAATTTGCTTTGAATTCTGCCCAAAACATCTCATTATGATAGGGATAAAAGGAAATATTATCCTAAAATCGTTGGTCAATGACCCGGAGGGGTGACTTTCGAAATTTAAGCCGGGTTTTTCCGAGCTCTAGGCTAATAAGTGACGAGATGCTACTTCGGGCTTCCACCAGACAGGGAAAACCCAGGGGCTGCATCCCTTCACCCCACACCTTACCATCAATTAGACAACCTGGAACCAGAGGTAGTAATGAGAAAGTTAGAGTGAGGTCATTGACTTCAACTGTTTGGTTAGTAGGGATCTGTCTCAAGGATATTATAGTATCAAGTTTGTTGGAGAAAAAAAAAATAGATAAACTAGAGTTTAAACAACAACAATATATCTGCCATCTGTTCAACTGTAAATGTTTATGTCGTCTAAAATATATACCTATATTGTTCAAATTTGAAAAAATAGCGAAAACACTATAATTTAATCATTCGTTAATCAAGTTAATATTCATTAAACACGATAAATAAAGAATTTAAATATGTCATAGTTTAAAAAAAACATATTCGAGCCTGTCAACTTTTTATCATGCTGTATTCATTTTTTTTTATTTATTTAGAAATATAATAATCGGTCAAGTGGACAATAATCATAATGAGATATGACCACATTCACACCATATATACAGAGAACATAAAATTAACAAAAGTAATATAACTAAACAATTATCAATAACCATGCATAATAAAAAATAAAATAACCTAAAGATAAGTAAATTAAAACCACAAGTCAAGCCTATATATAATCAGGCAGGGAACCCCAAGCACCTCCAACTATAGAGGGAAAAACAGGAATCCGAGAGATCCCTGCGCTGCTCTCTCAATCGCGTTATTGTTTAACACCAGTGGAGATTGAGCGACAGCGCTCTATGTTCATTATGTGAAAAATTTTTTTTGAAATTTTGTGAAGAAGATGAAGTTATATTAGGTGTAATTAAGTGACTTGAATGCCGTTCTTTTAGTAATTATTCCAAGATGAATTCTAGTCCTTGTTCCTATCTTATCGGAATTCATTGTCAGATGTTCTAATAAGTTTGAATTTATTTTTATAATTTATCGTTCAATGGTCATTATCTATTATGCTTAATAATAAAATGTAATGAATGAGAAATTAGTAGGAAACGTAATATGATGAGCTCACAGAGGTGTGTTGAGGATTCCCACAATAGTTTGTTCTTTTGTGTAAAAACGGAATAGGCATTTCCTTTATCATCAGCATTTCGAGATGTACGCCCACACACAGCCTAATATTTTATATTGACTATCTAAATTACTAGACAACTTATCTAAATAAAACATTATTTGTCATAGCTTAATCAGGATTTTCGATTAGTTATAATAAACAAGTGTTGACAACTATATAGATTATTTTATAATTTATCTTTTCTTCATAATTTCTAAGAATACCATATTTTAAAAACTTAGAAGTCGACCATGCTTACCGACTTCGATGCAATTAATCGATTCCAGGATTGGTTAACGTTATACGATGGTGATTGATAATCGATTCTCAGCGACACCCTCAAAGAACCCTACCTCGATAATACAACGGCTGACGTGTGATGTATTGAGTGCGCCGCGAGCGTCATGCGACATCCCTTTGTCGCTCCTTTCAGCGCCTGATGGATCGCTTGCGACAAAGAGTCCATGTCGGCTATTCACTTAGATCAGTGCCCCCTCCATCTTCTATGGGTTTTTTTCAGTATTAATAATACGAAGAAGAAATGGAAGAACTAGTATTTACTTAGTAGAAAAAAAAAAATATATTTAGCCTGCAATGCTCGATAATATTCAATTCTCCAACACCAATGCTCACATTTAAAATGTAATTTACGTAACGGTTGAATGATCTGTAGTAATAATATATCAAATACATATCCATACATTGTGTAATAATATTTCTAAATTTTGTTGTTCTTACCTCTTTTATCAATTTTCAGCCTCCCAACAGTCGAGCACTGGAGAGGAAGACAGGGAAGAAGAGGAGGAAGATTCTGCTCGTTGCCCTGTCTGCGATCTATCGTTTCCTGACGTAGACCTGTAAGTTACATAAATTTTAATTTATATTGTCATAATATAAAAATGGTTTAATGCAAGAACATAGATAATTTACGAAATAATAATAATTTAAAAATAAAGTATCCCAAAATCATTAAGACTGATGTTTCATGAATTCTATTACATGATTTAAGTCGTTCTTGAATAAAGATAACAAATATGTACTATATGTTACTACTTAATAATTCGTATACCATAAAAATATATACCACGATAATGGTGGAAATATATTTCTTAAAAAAAAAATAGTTTTTTTAAATGTTTATAAATATTTGTTGTAAATTGAAATGGTTGTTCTTCCATAAAATGATAAATATCATCTTACATGTTAGTTAAATTATGTAAAATTATATTATACTTATTACTTTCAATTATTATCATTTATTTTGATAAAAAATTTAAAACGGTTGTTTCTGTTTTAAAGATCGTGTAACAAGTTTTAATTAAAAAAACATTAACGTAAAAATTATCGCATCATGGTGAATTACCCATATTGTTGTAATTCAATAACCATGAAGTATTGTTCGATTTTATGAGCTATTTTAGGTTAATTGGACAACTTAGGTTTGGACAACTGAATAAATTGCCAGAATTGGTTTAAAAAAAAAACTAATGACTCTTATGCTGTATCGTTGATGACACAAGTTTTCACAGATGTCTTATCTTGGAAAAAATGGATTATGTCTAATTAGGAAAAAATAAAATATTCTAACCAGATCAAATACATAACATAAAAATATCAAATAAGTTATTTTGTTCCTTCTCGGAGTAGTCTAACTGAAGTGTAATTAAATTATTTATTTATTTTTACTAGCATTTCTTCAAGCCGACAATTTCTTTATTATTTCTGAAATATTAACTTCGTTGTTCTTACCATATTATGCTTTCTGGAAACATTTATTTTTAATTTTAGAAATTACTTTAAATAATTTGTATGTTTATCTCGAATTTTAGTTCCATTAAAAGTGCTATGTCATCTTTGCTATTTTGATACATATTCTGGTTAGTTTACATATTTTTGTCCTAATTGCTATATATTGATTTTTTTTAAAGAAAAAATTACAAAAAAAAAAACGCGGTGAATATTGAAAAATACAAATGTTATATTTCTGCTCCATGTTTATTTTCGGCAGCTTGTTAGTTATGAAAAGTGGTTAACAATTTAGTTTTTGGAGAATTACTTAGGCACATATAATTTTACAAACACATAGATTAGAAATTGTGATTATTTGTTGGGGTTTTTATGCGTGAAGCATCAGGGTCATCAACGCCTGCAAAATTAATTTTTAAGACATTTGACATTTTTTTAAACAAATCGTTTGATTACAAGAAACCTAACACTAAATTTAATAGAGAATCAATTAATTGTAAGCGACATTTAAATTATTGTGAAGTTGGACATAAACTCATTCCAATTCTTAAGATGTAAATAACGTTACCCATAACTATCGGTATCCTATATCTTTTTACAATAAACTTTTGATAACTATATCATTACAAATTTAAATTCAAGAATCGGATTTATTTTATTTTTTCTATTTTAATTCGTATAAAATGAATTAAATAATCGTTACCTCATAGAGATTATTTAATTATTATTATTTCACAGCCTTTTAATTTTCATTACAGTGATAGTTTGTTGTAATTGTAAAAAATAATATTTAGCCTGGACTCAAGTAAAAAGCACACCTAGTATAAAATATTCCAAGAAAACAGCCCTAAAATGTTATTAAAATTTATTATTTTGTGACATAACAATAGTTTAAGTACTGTCGAAGGGAGCCGACTGTCGGCGACAGGGACGCTTCCAAAATTTACTCCGGGTTTTCCCCGGGCCATAGCCAAAGAGCGAGGAGGGAGGTGGGGGTAGAGGTGCTCAAGACTAACGTGCCCGTAAAATAAATTTAAACATATTTAAAATTATATAAATTTATAAAATCAATTAGGTAAAATCTTAAATTAGAGAACAATTCTAATTTGTTTGTACTAAAAAAAAAAAAAAAAATTGGTCATGTTTTTTAAAATATTATTTCCATACAAAGCCATTCAATGAGCTAACATATAATTACTTAAAATACAATATAAAATATAAAAAGAAAGAAATTCAATTTTATTAAAAACTATTTTTTTTTTAAAGTGATATCTGAAATTCTTTATTAAATTAATTACGGTTTTCATTCTAATCGAACCAGAAATATAGTTAATACATCCCTAATATTTTATTAAAATTATATTTTGCATTAAACAATAACCATACCGAAATGCAAATAGTAATAAGTAAATATTGAACAAGAAATATTTTTAGGATGCAGGGCCCAAACATTTAGGTATATGATTGCTAAAAGCATGGGGGTACTCGGTGACAGAGGTATCTTCCGAAATTTACTCCGGGATTTTCCCAACGCTCAGTGGAAAGATGGCCCGAAATGCCCCGGGTTATCTTTGAAATTGAAACAATATTTAACAAAAATTTTTTTAAATATAATACAATTGTGCCTTTTTCAAGATATACTGATAACCAAATTTCCATTCCATATGTAAAATTAACAAATATTGAAATTCAAGTATCTACTTCGTTGTTTTTTTTTTTTATATTTTTAGGTTTTTATCAATTTAACGCATACATCTTTATTAAACAGATAACAAAATATGCTTATAATTTTATTACAATGATAATATTTATTGGTTTATACTTTTTTCATATAATATTGGAAAACATAAGAAATAAATTTTTATATTAGGTTAAGGTGACCAGATTTTAAAATTGGTAGAGCGGGACACCATTTATCGAGGGAGAGCATGATCCAAATTTGTTGTTTAAATACAAGTGATATAGTATTCAGCTGAAATAAGATAGAGACTTTAGTACTAAAGACTTATTTTTGAGAGCGAATAATTTGATAGTGTAACGTTACCGTTTAATTTGCCTTCAATAATAATACAGTTTTTAAGAAATAAATGTTTTGTACAGAATCAAGCAGTTATTTTTCAAAATGCTAAAACACTTATTTAAGGTGGCAAAATTTCGGTAATAAAAATAGGAAATGAAGTTAATTTGCTAGTGTATTTAATCGTTTCCTTATCAATATATATTTTTAGAAAACGATGCCTTTAAAAAATATCATTTTCGGGTTGTTTATTAGGTCTAAACAGTGGTGGTTTAATTCTATCAACGCAATCAGGAATTAAACGTTTCAATGAAATAATGTTTTAAATTAAAAGTCATGATGGAAAATCTTTATTAACAAAATCTGTTAGATGAATACTACAATGAGACATTATTTTTTAGTTCGTACTAATTGTTATTTTAAAAAGTTACTAAGTCGGATAATTATTCACATCCAGCTTGAAATAACCTTGAATATTATTCAAAATAAAAATGAATGAGGCTTAAACATCACAAAACAAGTGAATGCATTAAATTGAAGATCATGATGAAAAGTTTTTAATTACAAAATATGTTTGAAGAACACTTAATTTCTTTAGACTGTTCTAATGAAACATGTAAAATAACATAACTAAGTTTGATGATATATCACACATCCTTTACAGGAAAAAACCATTAGGAAACTATCCCGTTACATTTATTACCTTAGGGACATAACAATGTTAAATTGCGACTAAAAGCAATAGTGCCTCTGGTTCCAAGGGGTGTCTTCCAAAATTTACTCCGGGTTTTCCCCAGCGGTCAGGAATTAGGAGGTCCAGATGGTTCCGTGTTGCGCTACCATTTAAAGTAAAAGGATATTTAACAATAAGTACATTGAAAATCAATAAATTTATTTCTTCTTTGATAAAATTAAAACAATTAATTACATCAAGCAGCTAAGTAACTTTATACATAACTAGGTCATGATTTGCATAACATTTCAGATTGCAATAAAGAATATAATTATAAAACTAAAATTACAGTTTCAGTAATAAACTATTTTGTAAATTGACGTCAAATAGTTAGCTTTTTATATTATTGTTTTAATTTTTATGTAATTAAATCATGAATCGGTATTAAATAGATATTTAAACATATTTATAATGTTTTTCGCAATGAGAGTATTTTTATAAGAGCATGCGGACAAATACATATTTAATTTTCGTCATTTTCATGATGGCTGTTCGTATTATTTTCAACGGAGTTCTTATTTAATTTTAATTTTTATCGAAATATAAATTGGGATTAAAATATCACTATATTTCCACACACGTTCCATTAAAGAAGGCTTAAACGTTACAGTGAAATATTGCTTAGCAGTAATTTAAGATAAAAATTAAAATTGCAGTTTTATAACATCAATTGTTTATTAATAATTTAAGATAAAAATTAAAATTGCAGTTTAAAAACATCAACTAGTTTACAAAATTGAAATCCAATATTCACATTTGGTGTTATATTTTATTGTATTTTAATATTTATTGTATTTAAAAATAATCGTTGTTTAATAGATATTTAACAACATATTCTTAGGTCTTTGCAATGTTAGTATTTTTTTCTTACACAAAACACTGGAAAATATTTAATTTTTTTCATAACCATCTTTGTTAAAGTAGTTCATATTATTGTTTGTTCAATGTAACAAAGATGAATTCCGACAAACAGCTAGGGGATGGTAGGTGACAGGGGTCTCTTCCAAGATATACTCCGGGTTTTTCCCAGCGCTCAGTCGAAACGTGGCACAGATTCACCGGGCTTTTTTTTTCGTTATTAGTTCATGATATGCATAAATTTAAGATGGTACTACAAAAAAAGAAAAAAATTAAAATTGCAGTTTTATTATATCAACTAGTTTACGAAATTTAAATCCAAAATACACATTTGGCATTATATTTTATTTTAATTGTTATCGAATTTTAAAATAAGCGTTGTTTAATAGACATTTAACAACAAATTCTTACATATTTGCAATGTAAGTATTTTTTTTTTCTTACATAAAACTCTGGAAAACATAAATATTTAATTTTTGTCATAACCATCTTTGTTATCGTAG